TTGAATAGTTTATAAAAAAGTAATTTATTTTTAATAATGAAACAACATAATTTTTATATCTATTCTTATTAATCACATAAGTTGTTAAATGTATGATAATATTTTATAAAAATAACTATTTTATAGAATCACATTATAGTCAAATCGAATTTCTGGATAAAATTTTTGAAATGATACTTATTTTGAAACATATATAATGTAATATATTATCAATTATGTGCACCACGCGAGTTTTATACTAATTTTAAATAAACATTTTTATATAATTTTGTACAATATAAACTTTCTAAAACAGTTTCAATAAATTACTATAGGTAATTGTATTGATTCTATATTTTTAATTTATAAATATTATTTAATAAGAATTTTAAATTGTACTAAATAGTAATGAATATCTCTCAATGAATATCTCTTAATGTAAATATTAAGGAATATCTCTTAAATGGTGTTTATTTACCCAAAACGTCCTAAATATTAATTAATATAATATAATTACTAATAAATAAATAGTACAACATAAGTAAAACGTATTACTCATCTTCTTCGACGCGTAAGGGTGGGACTCTCAATCCATTCTCCGAAACCCTAATCCTCTCTCCCCCAAATTTTTCTACGATTGACAAATTGGATCAAAAACTGTAATTTGCATTATTCCGAAAACTAAGACCTTTCGCAAGTCTCTCTTTTTTAGATCTTACGTTTGTGTTATATTACAATTTAGTTGTTAGATTGAGGTGGGCAAGAGAATCGAATGGGGAAGAAGAAGAAGAGAGGAGCTGTAGATAAGATGTGGTGCTACTACTGCGATCGGGAATTTGAAGACGAGAAGATATTGGTGCAGCATCAGAAGGCCAAGCACTTCAAGTGCCATGTCTGCCACAAGAAGCTGTCCACCGCCGGCGGCATGGCCATCCATGTCCTTCAGGTCCACAAGGAACAAGTCTCCAAGTTCGTCCCCTTACCCTTCTTTCCATTTCCTTTTACATTGTTATTTGTTTCATTTTACACTTGAGCAAAACCAAGCATGTTTAGTTTTATCGTAATGTCAATTTTCTTTTTTTTTTTTAGCACTTCACTATCTTGATTGATGTTTCAATTTTTTTGTTATTTTTATTTGTTTTTAAATATATAATGTGTTGGGCTGGCTAGGTTTATTGAAATGAAACTCCTGGATAGCTTGGGCACAATTTGTTTCTTACTGGGACTGTTTTGTCTTTTTTTGTTGTGCTGTTATGATTGACAATGCCGGTGGAATCTCACTCCTATGCAATTTGGTATTGTTTCTCAGGGTTCCAAATGCAAAACCTGGAAGAGAATCGACTGAGATTGAGATTTATGGAATGCAAGGGATTCCACCCGATGCCTTGGCTGCTCATTATGGAGAAGAAGGTATTGTACCTTTTAGACATTGTTCCTTATTCTTTGTTCATTATGGGGTAGATTTTATTTTTATAGCTATCCTTTATGGAATTAGGCATGGAAGTCATAATCAAATTGAAAAACATGTCAAACTTGAGATTTTATGCGGCTATGCTCTAAATTTTCAAGGTACAGCTTTATTAATTTTGGAGTTTATATTTGTATGATGTCGAATAGCAAACTATATCGTGAGCAGTTTCATATTACTTGCTCTTTTATATTTTTTAGTTATTCAGAGCGATTATTGTTGCTGGTTACCGAACAAGAGATGCTAGAGAAAATAAGAAAAAGATAAACCCGGATTGAAAGCAACGAATTGATCTGATGATATTCTTATCTCTCTTAGGTTATTGCCAGTGTACTACTGAAATGTTGGTTTGTTTCAAAATTTTAAATTGGAAACTTGAAAAATCAAATCAAGTTAGACTAATCTGAATACAAACTTCTGTTGTCTTCATGTTGAAATTTGGATTTTTTTACAACGCTTTTATCCTATTGTCTTTGACCTTTGATCTTCGGATGATAGTAAAAACTGAACAAATCGGTCTTGCGTCCTGGACCTTTTATGTGGCATCTGGTTTATCTGTTATTGGTCTTTTGCAGAAGAAGATACTCCGTCAAAAGCTGCTAAAGTTGATATTTCTTCCACCCAACTTGTTGGTAGTTCATTACCTGGATCAGTTGGGTTTCCTCCTCAGCCAACTTTGGGATCAATGCCCCATGTGTAAGTTTCTTGATTTCTGCACTTAATTGCATTATATGATGTAATTTATAACACAAAGGTACATTTAACTAGAGATGGAAGTTGTGTGACTGGTTTTTATGTGCTTTAGTGGTTGAGTGGGAATCTGGTTGGCTACTGGCTACATGTTTGGATTGATGATATGCATGTTCTATTGCTGTAATTTCCTTGCCTTTTAAGTAGAATTGCTTGGTGTTTGGGAGTTGCCTTTGACTCATGGATAAAGTATGATGCTTTTAGATTCTGATTCAGTGTACTTGCATGATCATCTAGGCATTAACTTTTGTCAACTGATATTTGAACAAAAGAGAAATAGAAAATCACTACACAAAATCTGTATTTGTTCCAAATATATCTTACAAGACTTGTTAGAGTGCAGTTATAATCCCAGGCTTCCTGTGCCTCAAATGGGTTGGCAGGTTCCACCTCGCCCACTACCCTTTTATCCTCAACATCTGGCTCTTTCGGCTGCACAAGTGGGATTGCCTCAACAGCCTCTTTTTCCTGTGCATAATACACATCTGCCAGTTCCATCGGGAACGCCTGCTTTGATCCGACCATTAACAATCACTCCTCCAGGGATGCCTGTGCTTACACCTCCTGTTCCAGTTTCTCAGCCTTTATTTCCTGTGGTTCCTAACAATATTAATCCTCCTCAAAGCTCGCCATTTTCTGCTGCTAGCGTACTTGGTGGATCCTCTGCAGAAATGAAGAGTTCAGAACCTCATATTGCAGGCAGTTTGCCTGCCAACAGCTATCAGTATGGAATTCCAGGTTTGCCTTCCTTTCTCAACCTTAATTTTGTGTATTATCATGAGGCCCTTGCCTTTATATCTGACGCAAATTTAATGAATGATTTCTGTACGTATGCACACGAAGGAGAACTTATGCAATTCTATGGTGGTGATTATTTCACCTTTAATTCCTTAATCTTTAGAATTCGTATGATTACATTTTTGGAAACTTGAGTAATAAATCTCGATTCTCACTTTTCTTTTTTTATTTTAATCTTTTTATTTTATAAGGAGCCGTTACTCCAATGAGTTCTCATTCTTATGCGTCCGGCCCAAATACCGATGGCCCTTCTATCGGGCCACCTCCAGTTATTGCAAACAAAGTTCCTGCTACTCAGCTTGCTACTAATGAGGTGTACTTGGTGTGGGATGATGAGGCTATGTCCATGGTTAGTTATTCTTCTCGCCTATATGATATTTCTCACCGATTCTTTATTTTATTTTCGGCCCCAACTTTTTGAAACATTTTGAAAACACTTTCAGGAGGAAAGAAGAATGTCCTTGTTGAAGTATCAGGTGCATGATGAGAATAGCCAGGTAAGTCAAAATCACGTGGTAATGATATGCTTTTCATGGTATTTGGTTCAAATGCCAAATATGGGGTGGGGTCAGGTCGAGTCGGCTGGGCTGGGCTAGGCTTTTACTTGCTCCAGTTTTGTCATTCGCTTGTTTGCTCTTTGTTTGGAGATGTTTCTTTACATACTTCAATTCTCTGGTTAAAAAGGAAGAAACAAACTTAGTATGGCTAGTTATTTGATCATGTATGTTGATACTTTTGAATCCCATTAATGTGGGCTATTTTGACTTTCTTGGTCATTCTCCGGTGGGCAAGCAATCTCACCTGATTTTATGGTCGACAAAGCTACAAGTCAAGTAGGTACTTTTTGGTTTTCCCTTGCTAACTAGTAATTTAAGTTCTGACAAGCAACGCTGCAACCACTCCAGGAGTCCTCATAGCCTGGTACAAGTTTAAGAAATATTCAGAAATTTTGTTTTTCTAATGTTTTGAAATATTTTATGCTTGATCGTTAAGCTTGGTTTTGAGTGGAACAACTATTACCCAACAGATTTTTGCCCATACCATTTTTTTTTTTAAGATCGAACGTGAATACGGTGTTCCAGGTCAGCTCCTTCTGTAAAGTTTGTATCTATGAACTATGAATGAAGTTCTAATTATAACTGCCAGTGCTACACGACATCTGTTTTTTGGCTGCACTAACATTAAGTTACTGGGGCACCTTTTCAGATGAGCTCAATTGATGCAGCAATTGACAGAAGGATATCTGAGAGCAGGCTTGCTGGCCGCATGGCTTTTTGAAGGATGATATGTTCTACCTGGTTGCAACAGTAGCAGAAAATGTATCGTTGCAGATTCTTTTCTAAAATCTGGTTGCTCTAACCTGCACGTTTTCTTGCAGTTCCTTCTCATTTACCTGTTATATTCTCCAGACAATATGTTGATGGATAGATAAGCCTGTTCATAAAGTTCAAGTAGTATTTTCTTGGGCTTCGGCTATCCGAGTTTGTCATTAAATTCAAAACTAGAAGTACTGAGAGGATTGCGGTTAGATTTTTTCTTCTTTGGAAAACCACCATTTGTATTAGACTTGTGACAAATTTTAGTTTTTTATATCTTATGGTTAATTCACTGGATATTTGATGGTTGTGCAAACATCATTTGGCAAATCAAATGTAATTTCGTCTAGACTTGTTTGGATGTGCTTTTCTTACAAGTCTTGGAGCATGTCCTAAATTTTGTGGATTGCTTACTTGCAATGCCATGTCAAAAGAATGCTTTGTGGTAGATTAAGGCTGCAAACATTGAATTTTTTTTTTTTTT